CCTCCACCACTACCCCTACCCCTACCACTACCCCTACCCCTACCCCTACCACTACCCCTACCACTACCCCTACCACTACCCCTACCACTACCCCTACCCCTACCCCTACCACTACTACTACCCATACTCCTATCCCTACCAATACCCCTACCACTACCCCTACCACTACCCTTACCACTACCCCTACCACTACCCCTACTACTACCCCTACTACTACCCCTACCACTACCCCTACCCCTACTACTACTCCTACCACTACCCCTACCCCTACTACTACTCCTACCACTACCCCTACCCCTACCCCTACCACTATACTACCCCTACCACTACCCCTACCACTACCCTACCCCTACCAACACCGCTGGGTCATGTCAGGTCACAGAATAATTGGATCTAATCAGTAGGTACTAAAATATCAGACCTAAAGTGTTCTCAGCCCTGCCCCTATTCGTGCCATTCCTTTACGCTTAATCGTATTTGTCGGAAATGGCGTTTTGTGGCATATGTGGCGCATTGCGACAAACGCGGCGCATTTTCACCCGGCGATTGAGCATGTATCTTGGCACCAAATTGTACCCTTATCGGACCATATTTGACAAAACTGTGCGATTTGCGGCAAAAATGACGCCCTGTGACCAATGTGACGCATTGCGGCAAACGCGGTGCATTTGTAAATTTGTATCACAAACTGTACCCATTTAGCGACAATCAACACATTTTTAGCCACCATTTATCAAAATCAACAACTTGCCGATCCGCCAATGCGAGGCACCCGCCGCCGATCGGCATGCATTTAGCTCACAAAGTTTGTCGACCCCGGCTCTCAATGAAGATCTACGAACCGATCAAAATTTCATTGGCGTTCTTCCAGCGCGCCCCACGCGCGAACCGTACACCCCAGCGAGTCGGAACCTAGAAAAGGCGCTGACCCGCTCTGTCACCTAGAAGGTGTGCAAATTTCAACCCCCTACGTCGTACCGTCTGCCCTGAAGCCGTAACAAATTGAACCCACTACACGGTGTGGCGGACACACAGACTCACAGACTCACAGACAGACGGATTCTGTTGGAATAGTAAGTTAGATGAGAGCATTCATCAAACGGGTTTGACATTTATCGGCTAGGAGGTGATAATAGCCAATGAGGGATGAGGACGTCTAGCGCTAGCCTGACGAGTCGACGACTCATCATAAGACACCTGAAAGGCCTGGATAGTGACGGATCAAACGATGGGATTACGAAAACGGCGCCAATCATAGTAGGCATGTGAAATGACCGGAGCTAGAGAGTGTTCGGGTATAAGCAGCTTTACATAACTACGTATGGCAAAGCCATACGGCGTCACTTATCGAGTGACCCACACGACCATTTAGATTACATAGAGGCGATTTAACCGTAAACGTGACAATAAGAGATACTCTCTTCATTAAACCAACATCGCTATTGGCCAAAATTAACAAAAAGCATAGGTGAAATCAGCCTTTTGACCGGGCCCAAATGCAAGGCTTTGTGGTGGCTCGTAAGCAGCAAGAAAAAAAACACAAGTCAGCCTTGTGAGTTTTTTGAGTTTCGAGCAGCACTGGCAAATATTTTTTTTTTTACGTTTAATTTTATGCCTGAAGCATCTCTGTTCCGAACGATCACATGCACAGCTTTTGCACTTTGTATGCTGTTCATCACAAGCATGCAAATGGCAGAGCTCCCCGTAGATAATGACACACCGTGGAAAACGTTCGGGGCGGCTTTGAAGCTGAAGATGCATGCATTCGTGACATAGCCCAGCCAATAATGTAATGACACAATTATAATAGCAATAATTTCAGGTCTTTCGACAACCATCTAAAACGGCGCAATCACGAATTTCAGTCACGATTTGCTGTGGCTAAACTCACGCAAGTGTCTCATTGAATATGCAGCGCCACAATATTGTCAATAGGGGAGAGGCGGGAGAATTGGGACGCAGGAGAATAGGGACACGCCAATATCTAAAAAATGGACAGCATCCTTGCACGTTTATTGCCTTTACCTTTTGATTATATGTGTCGTGCAACGATGGGAAGCCTCAGCAACCTTTTTGTGGCCGTCGTTTGGGCTGTGGTGGCTGGGCACCAAAAAACTTGTTTTTTCGAGTGCTATTCTGAGTTGTCTGTGCATTGCATATGACAAACTATCTTTCTTTCAACATGTTACGATGTTAGCTTAACACCGTCCTTATGCAATTGCTAGTTTGTATGAACACGCTCTGTAACTGATAAATGACAAAAAATGTGTGATTTGTTATGGCGGTGCTGTGGGAGAATAGGAACACCAAATGGTAGAAACGGTAAAGTGGTGCAAAAAGATGTGTTTTTACCTTCGTATTTTGGATGGGGTTGCAGCTGCATTCCTAACCACAAATACATCAAAGCGAAGACCAGAAAGTCTTACTCTGGATAGGAAAATGTGCATTTTATGGGAACATCGTAATCGTGAAAGACAATCCCGGCCTTAAACGAAGCAGATAGTGTGAAGATATGTTCCAATGTATCAAATGATTGCCTAGACATAGACACGGCAAATAATTCCAGATAAAGTCATCCCAATACTCAATTTTTATATGTCCCAATTAAGCTTCGTGTCTGTCCCTTGTCTCCTTGCATGTGTCCCTATTCTCCTGAAAATGAGTGTTTTTGTTTTTGTCCACATATAACTACATCATTACACAGGCTAGCTATTTTATGATGGCATAATGCAGAGAAATGTTCGACCTTTCATTGGTGCTGCGCAAAACAGCTTGGCTACAATACTTTCCAAATAATACCGCAATGAACATGGCCTGAGAAATAAGTCCCAATTCTCCCGCCTCTCCCCTACTTATCTCTCTGCCTATGTGGGTAGGTTAGTCCAGCAAGCAGTTCTATCCTATTTAGGCAGCACCCACTTACATACCGAATAAAAAATCCAAAATCGACATAATCTGAAAGCAAATAAAGATCAGTAAAAGAGTGATGCAGTCAAAGCGGACCGATCTGATGCATGGGTTCGCGTCGTACGTGCCGAAACGTAGCATCACGTTAGGTATGAAAATATCGACGGCCTATTACCTCCACAGTCCGCATTTTCATGCAACACGCAAAATGCTCTCTGCAGGGTACACGATGATGAAAAGATGGAAGGTTTCCGCCTGACACATAGTGAAGTGAGTTACCGAGCGAAGAAGGGTTGGGACGCTGGTGTATCGGGATTTGGTCAAGTTTCGTCTTATGCCTGAAACAGACTCTTCCCGCAGTCAAGAAATCGCATGCGAGAGCCTATCAAAATACATGGAAGCACGCCCGCATCAATCGCACGCACCTCCCGGATGCGATTGATGCGGGAAGAATTATAATGTATTTGAATAGGCCCTCGCATGCGATTTCCTGAGCGCGGAAAGAGCCTGTCTCAGCCTTCAGTCAAGTCAACAGCTTCTACCGTGTACCTATTTTGCATCGGTCAAGTTCAGGGGTGGAGAAATATGCCGAGTTGGGGTTGCACGGGCGCAGCAAATCCGCCGCCGCCCTAGCGGTGACCTTGACCTCCGCCGTCTGGTGCGGCTCCAAAGCCAAGCCGGCGCAGCCGGCGTGGAATTGGGAAGGCTCCTGCTACCCCAACTCGGCACAATTGTCCACTCCTGGTCAAGTTAGATGTTAACCCGTGCCCCACTGGGCGGATGCTATTCATAGCCCCCTCCCGTTTTTCTGCAATAGCTTCTAAACCGCTTGACGTATCGACGCCAAACGTTCAGTACATTCGGCTGCATCAAGTTGACACCTTGTGTCAAAATATGAACTTCGTTGCTACCATAGGTTGGCCGGAAATGACGTCAGAGTGATGTCATGTTCGGCCGATTTCGACGCAAAACATTGAACCACGGCAATCGCTCCCAAGAGCTCAGTTTTTCAGCTAGATCCAATTTCTTTGCACGCGAGGACTCAGAATAGATTACGCTATCAAACTGCTGTCTCGGATTTCCAATTTAAAAAAATAAAAGTATATATTTAAAAATTCAAAATTTATATTTTTATATTTTTTTCTCAAAAAGTTTTTGACTTTTCAAAAAACCGGAATATATGTGAAAGAAGACATGCTTATGACTTACTCTAGCAAGTTTTAGCCAGATATGTTCAAAAATGGCCAAGTTATACGCATTATAGTAAAATTTCACGATTATAAATTTATCAAATCAATTTTCAGTACGTATTTGACATTGTACACCAATATAAATAGCATCATCGTCTTCCTGAGCTCAAACTACATCCGATACTCTTTTTTGTTCAACTTCTTCAAACTTCAAAATTTGACCTTTTTTACCTGAAAGTGACCGGACCTAGGCTAAATTCCACTCAAAATGACCTCCAATGACATCGAATTCGAAATCTATGGGCTAAATGGACCATAAAACATGTGTCACGTGACCGATGCATGACATGAGATTTTTGTGACCTGTGATGACCTAACCCTGACCTGAAAATCAAAGTATAAGTTTGGTACCCTCAGGGTATCTAGAGCATCTGTTCACCGAGTGTGTAAACCAAAAATGAGCCCGATCTGGCTTGTAAGACGGCGACCAGAGCCCAAAATGTGAACAAGCCAATTCTCGATAATTTTTACTATGACCTGACCTGAGACGTCATCGGTGACCTCGAAGTCAATGAAATTAGGTTTCGCTCAACATTTTTTACCGGGGCTATCAGCCGCCGTTTGAATTTTGACGATCGGCCCAGTAGTTTCGGAGTTAGGAGGGGGGATTATGAATAGCCCCCCCCCCCCCAGCAGGGCGCGTTATGCGCAGACCCCAGTGGGGCGCGGTTTACGTTAAAAAAAAACTGAAATTAAAAATCCATCAACGACTTTTTGGGTGGCGTCAGCATCCAAAACGTGCGTAAGCAATCTCCATCATACGCGCAGTGGAAAGTCACGCCTGTCAGAAAAATCTGTTCTATAAAAGCACGAGTCTAGCGCGAGATGGCAAAAATTAAATTCACTGAAATGCCTGGCGTACCGTTAGCAGCCACTGTGCACATCGAATTAAAATTAATGTTTGTCTCAAGCGCTGCAGCTTCAAATTATAGCCATGGATGACACCTCAATTTGCGCCTATGTCACGATTCTTATATTCATTTTAGTTCTGTTCCCTGATTGGCTATTCGACACACTATTTTGCCTCCACCGATTCCTTCACGATAAAATTCTTAAAATCGTCTGTTGCACAATCCACTTTGTATTCAACTGCTTCGGTGTTCTACTCACAGTTTTAAGCATGTTCTTCAGACCAGCTCCAAATTGTCCAAGACCTCCAAAATGCTGCTAACAATGAGAATCCTGTCGATCATTCACCCCAAAAACAAATAGAAGAACTACTTTATGGATATTGCGAAAGAAGATCCAAATAGCAACCAGTTTTTGGTAAGTAAAAGGGGATTAGCTTAGTCGCCAAGTAGAATATTATATGCTCTATTATTTTCATTGCAAATTGTTGATAATATCCCAATGAATCAGTACTTACCTGTGCGGCATGCTTAAAATAATATAGCGGTGATAGCCAAGCATAAGTACGATTCAAAACCTACTCACTCATACGACGCTGTCTGATGATTACCCCTTTTCTAAAAAAAAAAAATGCTAGCTGGTTAGGAGTGTATGGTCACATGCAACCAATAAAAGTCATAATAAATTTCTGATCAATTAAGGTCACTGTTCAGCGAATTTCACTTGATCACAATTTCATTGTGAGATCACACCGTGCGAATTTCACTGCATTGACTGCATTCATGCACGCAAAAGCAATGCCAAAAGAAGTGACCGGTAGTGACTGCGTTGACGCAAGTAACAGTAGCACCCGCTGCACAGAAACTGCGATGAAGTACATAAGGATAGCATTGGCTGCATGGAAACTGCAGTTGCGCACATAACAGTAGCACCACTTACACGGAAACTGCAGCACAATAACACTAGCAAATCAAAAAGGGTATTGAGGCACAATATGTAGCACCAGCTGCCCCATACGCTATACTCGAGCCATCTACTATACGAAGTAAGGACTCATTGTTAAAATATTCGAATCTGTATAATTTGACCTTTGCTCACTCCTGCTTTGGATATAATTGACCTGAGCCAATAACTATCGAAGATTTTCACCTTAGATGTGGATGGATACGAAGGTGAAGTATCTTTAAACATTTGAAATGTCCAGGCTCATTTTTTGTTTGCCTTATCTTGTTTTATAGGATGAGATGCAAGATTAACCCGCGCCCCAGCAGTGGCGGTCTCAGCCAACTTCGCCCTAGTGGGGAGGGGGGGGGGCATACCTATGTTACCAACCACCTCTGACTCAAAAACTAAGAGGGCTAGAAAGACGCCCCAGTAAACATTCCGACGTCGGCCCGACGTCGGGCCGAGGCTCGGCCCGACGTCGGCCCAATGTCGGTTCAACCTCGGCCCGACATCGGCTGGACGTCGGATATGCCCGCATGTTCCGACGTCCAGCCGAAGTCCAGCCGACGTCGAGCCGACGTCGGGCCGAGATCGTTTGCCGAGGTTGACGAGATCGTTTGTCGTTGGACCAACGGGGCCGACGTCGGCATGTTTATTGGGACAACGCGCCAAAAATATCAACCGGCGGCGGGATTCGAGCCTCCCAGTGGCCGACGTCGGCATGCTTACTGGGACAACACGCCAAAAGCATCAGCCGGCGACGGGATTCGATCCCCGTGTCATTCAAACGCGAGGTTAGTGCGCTAACCACTACACCACGCAGCCAGCTAGCGAAATTGGTTTGTTTTGTTGGGTTATGCCCTTTCGGTCTGACAAGACCATTTCAGAGCCGGAAGGATCATAGGATGGAGACATTGGTCTTCTTGGCGAGCACTCTGGGTCCAGTTCATATAGAGTCCCTGGCCCCATTGCTGTTAGGTGACACTTATTGGAAAGGGCGACCCCACAATGGATTCATATAGCCACTCTTACACACCTGCACCAACGTTTCCCAAAGTGTCCCTTTGATAAGTGGCACTTTGGCAAAGTGACACTTGCCGACTGGCCTTTCTATATGAACTGGGCCCGGCCCTGGTGAGTTGCCGGGGCTGAGCCTGACCAAAGGATAGGCCGAACAGCCCCCAAGCACTCACCGCACCCGGCTACGGGCGAGCTCGGCTTACGGGCAATCCCAAATGGGATAAAGTTTCCCGTCCAGTCCGGATCAGGGGGTTGCGGCGTGGAGGAAGATTTGAGTTTCCTGAGGATATTTTGAATACAGAAGCTCTTTATGAAACATGAAACATGCATTTTATATTGTTTTAACGGTCAAAACAGCGGCCGATGTCGGTCCGACGTCGCCCCGACGTCGGCCCGACGTCGGCTGGACCTCAGCAATTGATCTCGGTCCGACGTCGGCCCGACGTCGGCTGGACCTCGGCTGGACGTCGGAACATGCGGGCATATCCGACATCCAGCCGACGTCGTGCCGAGGTTGGACCGACGTCGGGCCGACGTCGGCATGCCGATGCCGAGTTGCCGACGTCACCCCGACGTCAGCCGACGTCGGGCCGACGTCGGCATGTTTACTGGGGCGGTAAAAAGCAGTCGATAGCTCTCGATGCGTAGGTACGTTTGAAAGTATTTCAATCATTTTTCATCTTAGAGCAATATTGGGGTCACCAGAGGTCATCAAAGGTCAAAATTTGCGAATTATCATTATATTTTTCAGAAAACATGCCCTTACCTCAGGAACGATAGCTAGAAAAACGCTTGGCAAAGCAATTGATAGCTTTTGAACTCTTCTTTTGATAAGGTCACCATCAAAAATGACCTCAGGTCAACGGTTTAGCCTCCAGAGGGCAAAAACTCCAAAAATAGCTGTTTTTACGAAAAGTGTTTTTCGACAATAACTTTTGACTAAAAAAAGTCATGACATTTCTATTGCCAGAATCGTGTTCCTCTCGCCGAGACGCGTCGAATGAGCTATAATTTGACCTTGAAAGATCAACTTGAAAATTTGACCTCAAGTCAAGGTCATGACCTGACGGAAAAGGTCATGTTGCATATCAGTCGATGCATCTCGGCAAGACAAACACAATTAGGCCATCCCCAGCGTTCTATCGCTTTCCAATCGAGAGTTATTGGCAAAAAGCTGTTTATAGCCTCAAATGACCTCGGATGACCTTTCTAGAGGCTATCAGCAAGAAAGACACCTTGCTCGTCACGGGTGGTCCAAATCATTGTGATTCTGAAATATTTGGACTGTTCCAATGCGTACAAACGGATCTAGAGGCATTGTCGTTTTTCTCCATTGACTTATAATGGAAAGGTCACGCCACTGACCTGACCTTAGGTCACGGATATAAAAATCCAAGATAAACAAGCTGTAGGCGACCATAACATCATGCAATCCACCAAGTTTAAAACCTCGCTGACAAACACTGCAGGCTGGACATGATAGCAAACTTTGTTAGGCTTGGTCAGTTAAATTGACCTGGTAACCTGACCTGACATGACCTGTGGTCAAAAAATTAACACATTGTCCAAAAGTGATGTACAAAAAACTACTCCAAGCGGCGCGGCGCTACACGCCGCGGTTTTTTATTCACACGCAAAAAAACGCGACAGGGTGGTAACATATCCCCCCCCCCCCACACTGGGGCGAAGGTTAATCATTAGCAGCGGGAGACTACTTAGGTCTTAAACACTCAACCTTTGAACTGCCATCAAACGACAACCAACTAAATTTGCTGGATACCCGATGCGTCTGTCAACCCGCCATCCAAGGAGTTAATTACACGTGTGACTAACCAGTGCATTCCCTTCCCCAGATCACCGTATCTCCTGGCTCAAGAAAAATCACATTTCCAACCAGGCGACGCCGCCTTTCGTCCGGTCGCCGGTCATCGCATCACAAGTCTGAGCGGCGGATCTGCTCGGCCAGCCACTCCGAATCATGACACGGTGTGAAAACTGGCCACATGTATTTGGATGTGTTATTCAACTTATCAGCATCAATGCCTACCCTCTATGTCTGTTTGTGGTGGTGGCCACTAAAAAAGCAGCGGGGGGAAATGAACATCATTAGATAACTAGTTAACCAAGCACGTCCAGATCGTATTTAGCACTAACGTCGTTACCATCAAGCCCTTCGACAACCGTCCAGGACTCCAAGCACACACACCTGTATACATATTATAACTATTAACAATCTCTTTGGATAAACACATCGGCGCCAGTAGTGTTATCAGAAGCCTCCATTCCGTAATTATTGCCACACATCTTGTTGGTAGGCATGTTTCCCAATGTGATTCGTGCTTGAACATAGCGTAATTTCGGATTCTTTTCATCTCTTGGCAGTCGCTTATGGCACACAATGTAACCGGGGTATTTGAAATGCAGCATGAAGCGAGCGTAAAAAAAGTTCAGAGGCCCTTCCGGTGGCCCGTTCATGAGACTCTTGTGTAAACAATAGATTCTACAGAACTGCCTAGAAAAGCAAGTCAGTGAAATTACATTGCGGCCTGGATCACGAACAGAATATGTGCAGGATGTTACAGTGTGACCGTAACTCATGTCTGACAGATGATTTTCTGCAAACATTCAGCGCTGCCGACTAATTAGGCCATTTGCGTCCATAAATAAGCCGCAAACAGAATTAATGCGGCGCCGCTGGTTTCCCGGGTTATTGATGCAAGACCATTACATGTCGGCACGCCGGCCGTAAATCATACACACAGGGTGTGAAGTTATAAAGCATGATATTAGGGGTTCATTAGTCCATGGTAAATTTGTTTATTCCTATGCATGGCGTGATATCAAATTTAGCTTTTCAATTAATGCTTTGGTGATCTAGCACAATATTCAACAGGACTTTTTGAAGATCAACGCTTTCTATACAATACAAGTGAACGAAAAACTTCTGCAGTCAAGATAAATCATTCGCTGTCCAGGTAACTTAATAACAAAAAACCGCTAGTCCGTGGTTAGCCTAGAATTTCGGGATGACGCTCAGAAAATGCATGGCGGCCGGCCCGTTGCCGATTAGGTTGCTCCGTTCGCTGTAGTACAACCTGTCACGGTGCGCGATCCCGGTCATCACGCAACTATTTTCACATTCAGTTTAGTTCCAGTGATTCTCCACTGTGTGTAAAATATTTTCAGCGTCACGTAGTGTCCATTTATTTACGCCCGTAAGTGCATGAGACGGGACGACCGATCACTGCACTACCGCAAAACTGGGAAAGTGCGCATATACACGTACCGGCGCGGCCAATTCCTGTAATACGAGATCCCATTACAGCTGGCTTTAGCGAAGCTGGAGTTAGGCATCATTACCTGTTCCACACCCCGTCTGCGTAGTACACAAGTCATACGTGTAAATAATGTATTTCAGAAACTAACTAGACAGGCATCAGTTTGTCAACTGACCAAATACAATCACTCAAAGGACTAAAAGTTCGACTGAGGAGTTTTAAAGCTTCCAAGCATATATGTCCCGATAACATCCGATAATAACCCATGCAACACCGTAAAAAGCCAAGCGAGATGAGCCGGGAGCAAGAGTATCTCCAAGGGCCAGAATTCCCTTCCAAACATCGGCGAACAGTACCGAACGCACCAGCAACACCCGCACATCACCCGTCTTTAATACTGACGAGTTCATCTCGCTTATAACCGCAGATCACTAACGGAGGACCCCGCTCACCAGGCAGTGCTCGAATCCCAACTCAATCACTCAGTGGTAGATACGGGGTTCGCCTTCGGCGTCTCCCTCAGTGACTCCCAAGGCCCCTTCGTGGTTCCCGAGATCCCCTCAGTGACTCCGGGAATCCCCCCGGTGATTGAAGAGATACCCCATATCACCTCAGTGACTGCGAGATACCTCCAGTGACCCCAGTGATCTCCCGGACCTCTTGGTGCGCCGCCACACGAGTGCCACCATTACCGACAGCCGTCCGTGTGTAGCGGCGGCAGGACTTACGCAATAACAACGTGTACGACATAACAGTCGTAAAATGTGTCATAACTTCAATAACGAAGTCGTGGCGTCAAAACGTAATATCAGATTAGTCATCACCGAATAAAAATAATAGTTTTTGAATGGTCGCAAAATATTATTACTGTGCAACAGGACCAAACAACTATTCTTATGATAATGGTATAAAGAATATGTATCAAACGTAATTCGTTGTTCATACCACAGCCCTACTGGTTTGGAAAACTATTGTAACCTTAGAACACCTCACTGAAGGGGAAACTGTGCACTTTGTTACCATCACAAATCGCTCTATCGCGTATCATCTCCCTCCCTTCACCTCGGCGCGGTGATCACAGTTGGCAGAAGGCCTGGAAGAGCAGCACCTCCGCCCGGTCGGTGAGAGTCAGCGTCACCTCCTCACCAGCCGGTGTAAACAGGACAGAGCCGCGCCCGACGACCGTGGCGCCTCTGGTGGCGGCGCCGGACACTACCAGCAGCAGACTGGCCGAGTCCCGTACAGGGACCGTGTACTGGGAGCCAACAGAGTCCGGCACGAACTGAAACGAAACCGGGCCGAGACGTTAGTAACTACAGACGTCAGTTCGGATACAACAGTCAGCGCGGGAAGTCGTCATTCCAGGCAGAGCCATCAGTCTGGTTCTGTCAATACCAGGAGCCATCAGTCCAGTCCCGCCAGTCTCGGTAGCAGCTAGTTCGGAAAGCCGCAGTCCGCTTCAGTCCGTCCAGCGCCAACCGGTCAGGGTAATACTATCCCACAGTAAAATCACATGGCAAGCCAGCCGTGATAACTGCCCACCACCGCGGCGCCGGCGGCACGCGTCCCACGCTATACCGGCAATCGTTTACCCTCCCTAATACACGCCATTACGATGTAGTTACGTACCGAGGCGGCGTGCACATACCCACGGTGGTCCGGCCGCGCCCTTCCCGTCGACACGGCACGTACCTGAATTTTGGCCAGGCTGAAGTCGGGCACGGGCGGCCGGAACTCCTGCACGCAGTCGCCACCGCCGGCCGCACACGAGGGGCGGAACAGCTGCTCGGAGGCCGGCCGACACTCGTAGGTGAGCATGGAGACCAGTGTGGAGACGTCCTTGAACTTGGGCGTCAGCCCCGAGCGGACGACGTTGTCCGAGCAGGCCATGATCTCCACACAGTCTGCCGAGCAAACAGAAATAAACTGACATTTCCACAGTCTGGGGACGGAAAAAATCGCCACACCCTCACAGCAATATTGCCTATGGAATGAAGGATAAATGTTGAGAAAAACTTCACATATTACATGCCTCATGCAAAATATGTTTCCCACGCCTGTCTAGTGCAGAACATGCTAGCTAGGCTGCACTTCATCATCATTTGTTAAAGGTGCTTGAACCAGTCAACTTACCTGCAATTGCATAAACATATTGGATTCCATCTAACAAAAATCCGAAAGTCATGAAAAACATCCGACGCCACTTGGCAGAGGCAGCTAAACAAGAATCAGTGAGGCCCCTCTCTCTCTCTCTCTCTCTCTCTCTCTCTCTCTCTCTCTCTCTCTCTCTCTCTCTCTCTCTCTCCCTCCTCCCTCTCACCTCCGGCCAGGTAGGCGTGCGGCTCGTTGGGTCCCAGGAAGAGCGCCTGGCCGGGCTGCAGGACCAGCCTGTTGAGCAGCAGGGCGCACAGGCAGCCCACGTCGCCCGGATACTGGCTGCTGAGACGGAGGATCAGATCGGCCGGGAGTAGCGGGTCCGACGGAGCGCTGTCACCTGGGAGAGACAGAGGTGGGTCATATACAGAGGACAGTGTCATTGTGACAGGTCAGCTGGCAGCAGAGGGTCCGACGGAGCGCTGTCACCTGCAAGAGACAGGGGGATAGGTCATATACAGAGGGCAGTGTCATTGTGACAGGTCGGCCGGCAGCAGAGGGTCCGACGGAGCGCTGTCACCTGCGAGAGTCAGAAAAGGGTCATATATAGAGGATAGTGTCAGCATGCCGGGGAGGGGGAGGAACCGGCCGCAGCACTCTTATCTGAGGCAGACAGGGAGTGGGTTACCTATAGTTATACTGGCACCATGACAGGGTAGTCGCGCTGTGACCGTACCACTGACAGAGGAATGGGTCATATGGGGGATGCGAGATGAGTGATGACTGTCATCGATAAATAAGGACTAGACAATAGACATCGGTCACTCTCTCAGCAGGGAGAGTCAGGTCGGGCAGAGGCTGAGCGAGCATGGACCGGCCGCATGCAGCAGAGGCAAGGGAGACACTCTATCTAATCTAACCCCCAGTTAGAGCTAAAATTGGCGAGATACTTTAGCACAGATACCGCATGGCCATAAACAGTAAACACTCTGGCCCGTATGGCGGATGCTGGTATCATAAACGTTAATGGGAGATGCAACATGTCTGATTGCCGGGCCGAATTTGTGAATATATCACGTGTGTGACGGACCGTGCTATGGTGTGGAGGTTAGGCCACGGACGGGGTCAGAGGCACCGCAGCTAAAGTGGCTGTAAACTGCAAGCAGCACTACACATAAATTGTAGTACACTATGATCTGCAGCCGAAGATAATCATACGAGACAATAGTTGCAACTTGCACGACATACTTTTTCAGACCACGTAGGTTGATTAAAGTAAATTTCGTAAATGCGTTCCTAGAAGGAAGGCATGCAACAGTTAACGGGTCGAAACTGTCATCGATTGACGTATCTCATTTTCCGAGCCTCAAATCCTGGTACTCTTCGGACTTCGAGCATGTACGCTATGCCAACCGAGACGGCACAAACACAAGTAACCGATCTCACCCCATTTTCATAAGCCGATCAACGCCTCCCCTATACCACCCTCTCCCCGATAAATTCAGCACCCCACCCCCGTCCCACCGTGTTCCCTCCCGGTCCCCTCTCAGCGCACTGACCTGTCGCCGAGAGCCGCGCCACCAGTGAGTCCAGCAGACGGCTGATGTCGGCCGGATCCCGGGTCATCAGCGCCTGCAGACAGTCCCTGAGACGGTCCCGACTGGCCGGGTCCGACGGCGAGACGGCCAGCAGGGCGGCCGACGGCTCCGGACCGACGGCCGCAGACAGCTCCGGAACGACTGGGGGTGGAGGGGGGAGTTACACAGGACACACGGCTCCGGACCGACGGCCGCCGACAGCTCCGGTACCACTGAGGGTGGAGGGGGGAGTTACACAGGACACACGGCTCCGGACCGACGGCCGCCGACAGCTCCGGTACCACTGGGGGTGGAGGGGGGGGGGGAGTTACACAGGATACACGGCTCCGGACCGACGGCCGCCGACAGCTCAGGCACCACTGGGGGTGGAGGGGGGGGGGAGTTACACAGGACACACGGCTCCGGACCGACGGCGGCCGACAGCTCTGGAACGACTGGGGGAAGAGGGGGAGGGGTTAAATACGGGGGAGGGACCGACGGCCGCCGACAGCTCCGGAACGACTGGGGGAGGAGGGGGGGGGAGTTACACAGGATACACGGCTCCGGACCGACGGCCGCCGACAGCTCCGGTACCACTGGGGGTGGAGGGGGGGGGGGGGGAGTTACACAGGATACACGGCTCCGGACCGACGGCGTCCGACAGCTCCGGAACGACTGGGGGAGGAGGGGGGAGTTACACAGGATACACGGCTCCGGACCGACAGCCGCCGACAGCTCCGGCACGACTGGGAGAGGAGGGGGGGGGGGAGGAGGGGGGAGTTACACAGGACACACGGCTCCGGAACGACGGCGGCCGACAGCTCCGGAACGACTGGGGGAGGAGGGGGAGGGGTTAAATACGGGGGAGGGACCGACGGCGGCCGACAGCTCCGGAACGACTGGGGGAGGAGGGGGGAGTTACACAGGATACACGGCTCCGGACCGACGGCGGCCGACAGCTCCGGAACGACTGGGGGAGGAGGGGGGAGTTACACAGGATACACGGCTCCGGACCGACGGCGGCCGACAGCTCCGGCACCACTGAGGCTGGAGGGGGAAGAGGGGTTACACACTGGCTTCGGACCGACTGAGGGGGAGGGGAGGGAGCTACACAAGGCCTGACTGACTGAGGGGGCTGAGAGGGGAGGGGGATATAAGGAGGGAGAGGCGGAGGCCAGAGAGTCAACATACGGGGATAGAGACAGAGACAGCAAGACACAGAAATAGACACTGACTTATAGACAAAACGTCACAGGACACATATTCCAAGCACCCATGAAATTCTTCGCTTCAAGTAACGGACTTTTCTATGACGGCATTCATAAAAGATACACGCAAAGTACATAACTGGTTACTCAAATTGCTCACTACCTAATGCACGGCAAAGTTCGTGCATACTTTAACAAACCCATTTAAGCTGCATGCTAGTTGGGTGCAAAACCGTCAAATAGTAACAAACATGCTTCGTCACGGGACGACAAATTACTACGCATCAAAACCCATGACATGCCAAATATTTATACCACTCGCACAACGGTTAGGGCCAACAGTCATTTAACATATGAAAATCACGCAAGATAAATGCTACTTAATGGGCCAAATCGCCAAACTTGAACAGTAGAAAAAGAGAAATTTCCGGCCAGCTGCGTTCAAATCCACCTCTCGAGGAGCAAAAGCTTCCAACAGAGATTGTTCGGGCAACCAGTGGTCAAATCGCTTATACCCCCACCGGATACCATTTTCAGACAACTATTTCTTGAAAACAAGATAGATCATCAACCAACAGCTGGCCAACAAGATCCTTCCAAAATCCAACAGCTGGCCAATATTTCTTTCAACATGAAGTTGCACCAACACACCAAAACCAATAATAATCCAATTGCACACAAAATAGCTCGATCGTTGGCTGCGTTCATTATGCTGACCGAATCGAGAAGTTTTATCGGTAATGTTTTGATGCGCTACTGTTGTCGGTATGCTATCGAAATCGATAGCGATTTAATCGATAAGGACGAGGAGAGAGTTAAATCTCATCCGATTCCGAACACAATGTCGTGTGCCGTGTGCGACAACAAAGTTCCCTGGGCCAACGACCCCGTGCATTGCATCCAACGCAAGCGACCTCTATCGCAGAGGACACCATGAACGTGCACAGTTCGCCCCCTCTGCCACCAGATGCCGGCACGGCCGCCCACCTTTGAGGAAGTGCTGGATCTCCTCGAGCGGCCGGAAGCCGCAGAGCGCCTCGAAGGGCGTCAGCGCCACGGCCATCTCGGGCTTGTGGTTGGGGTCCTTGTAGACGGTCGGCTGGGCGGCATGCAGCTCCTCAGCGTGACTCTGCAAACGGACACAGAACATGGAATACGACCAAAGATTGTGCGGAAATTCATCACAAGAAGTGATGAATTTTCAACGAGTGCTGGCTGCAGAAAAGCCACTAAGGACATGTATAACATTGTCTATGTGTTGCAGTACTAAAATTTTAGTTATGTAGGCCGACTTTCAGTAACAAGCACCGATACATGGCGCGTGAGGGGCAGAGCTTCAGGGTTAATGCTCAGCTGCTCCTCTCTTGTCCCGGTAGTAGAACCGTTGTGCTCCCCATCTTCCTACAACCTCAAGAGGATATATCCTCATTAGTCACTCTCACCGGGATGGAATTCAGAGCTCGCCTATCCCTCTCACCTTTGACGGGTGCGCCTGGATGGAGAGTGCCGTATCCACTGAGAGAACCTTCAGCAGGAAGGGCAGCTGGGTGCCGAACCGAGCTGCCACGCTCTCACCCAGCACCTCCGGGTGCTCCCGGATGTAGTCGGCCAGCGGCTGACCGGTGGCGGCCAGCACCGACGGCCCGCTGCCGTGGGTGCCCATCCACAGCTCAGCGTAGTGGGTATCCTCACTGACAGAGAATCCCGGCTGGCTGGCAGCCACCAGACGGGCCACCGTGCTGCTGGAGCCCGGCCGGCCCCAGTGGTACGTCTGGTAGGCACACTTGAGCTCCATCTTCGTTCAGACCCGCAGACACTGTCAGAGATGGCCGATAGAGCATGTGAGGTCAAGTGCATTAGCATGAGTGCCATAATAATACACACTTTACTTCTAATCATCAGCTTTTAAAGATTCAATACCTACAATCACAACACAACTATTGTATGAAATGAAGATATTTAACACTGAAGGTCTTCAGTCTTGTTCTAAATCCTCTCATGTCAGGGCCAGGGCTATTCCCAACTTTGTAGTTCCAAGTTCAAACGTTTTCATTATTGGTATGGTAACTGGTACCTATGTGCAGTCATGAGATTTATTGCATTATTTATCTTCTCCTGAAATTGTTGGAATATCAAAATACAAGCAAGGGTGCAAGTAAAAAAAGTCAACGCTCCAACAAAACTCAATAAGCTGACTTTGATGAACATAAGGTATCACAGGATAAGTCCTGTCGTAAAGAAACATCCATGGTTCAAGCCGGGCATGTGATCTGCTTTTCTTATTTACTGAACTAAGGTTGATGAGCATCTCATTTATTGGCCTAAGCTTGGTTCAAAAGCTAACAAGTTTTATTCATTGTCTTTAATTTTTTCATTCAATTTTAATTTGAAAGTAGAAAACAAGTTAAACCATAAATCAGAGCTAGCTTGCATTTCTTGTTCTGCCGTGCTCTACCAGACTTGGCCAACACTGCTATCTAGTGACATAGTTATATGTCATATTCCATAATCAATTGAGATAAGTCTGATTCAAAAATACAAAATCGTAAAATATTTACCTGCCACAAAGATGCCCGTTTCCGCGCGCCACTGCCCTTCCGGTGAAAGTCCACAAATGTCACTCATGCGCACTATTGAGTTCAATGACATCTCAAGAGGGAAATAAAATATAAATCCATTTTAATGATCTTATTTTTGATGTCTCGCATTATAAGATTTAAATTAACCTCAGTTTTAATTGAATATGATAATATTATGCTAAGAATAGTGCGAAATACATCAATAAAAAGCAGCATTTGCCACATCAAAAAAGGTTTCTGCTTATTCAAGGTCGTCATGGATTTACAAAATACGCGTGGTTTTGTTTTGTTTTGTTATGCTTCCGGCACACTGCACTGGTAAGCTTGAATATTTAATTTGTTGTTGAGTAGAAGTGATTTCGTCATGCATGGTGGACGAAAAATAAATGCTGAAAGGTTTCATATTTCTAATAACTTCGTCAGTGGCCTAAATAATGCAGGCATGGGAACACCTGCTGGTTTAGCGCATTTGCAGTTTGAGTTCAAGTTGGCTTTTGCCTTTTTGTACGTTTAATGTTAATTCAAACCCACGGGAAAGATTGAAATACAATTTAATAATTAAATTGGATGAATGATATTGAATGTCGACCGCAGTCTTTCCTGAGTGCAAATGCATCAAACTAATAACTATCGCGGGCGCGGCGGTATATAGGGCCTTGATCGCGGCCTGGGAGTTCATAGTTCGATCAGATTCAGGCATTTTCAAGTTGGAGCTTTAGGTGCAGGATTATCCTTAAATTTCAAACCGAACCTCGCAACTCGATGAATTGAAACCTTACAGAGCCAGTGCATATTTTTGTTAAGTTCTGTATCGTTGTACCGAGTGAGAAATAAATGCTGTAGAGCAATAGCGCAGTGTCCTGTGGCATGACACACTTATGCTGATCATTATGGGCATTAGTATCAGGGCAAGTGCAGGTTTGTAACCGGAGAGTCCATTTTAGTTTGGAGGGGTGGGGCGGGAGGATGAATGATGCAGCGACCACGCGCAACTCCCGATCAAGGGCCAAATAACCGCGCGGCTGTCGCCCGATGTATACGGTGTCCCACTTGAGCCTGCCACACCCCTACCCAACTGCTGGGCCTAACAGTGGGCAGTTGCCCTGATTCTGCGGTCTGCCCATGTTCCTGGAGTCGACTGGGGCCGCAGTACTGTGGTGGCCCAAGTCTTACCCATGCTACCTGAGTCCTGTCCAGTGTCCGTTTCTAACTGCTGGTTGCTCGTTTCTTTTCAGAGTGTGCAACAAGCTTGATTTGCAAGCGAACCCTACGATGACCTGCCGAGAACCTGATTAGTGCGTGGTGATAACTATGAGACATTCTTTGTGAGTGTCGCTTTTTGGGCTAGTTTTTTTTTTTTCACACATAATCAAGTGAATCAAGGTACTGCTGAGTTCCGTGTAGTGCTTGTTGACCGTGATTTAATACAGTGTAAGAGAAGTGAAGCGCAGTGCGAGTGTGCGTGATCCGTTGCATAGGATAGCTCAGATACCAACGCCATAGTCCGTAGGTGTAACTATTATCTCTGTCTGGGACTGATGCCTAGTGCCGTCAGTCTGCGTTCTGCCGACCCGATGTTGTAGCCGACATGCTGCTGAAGCCGGATATTCGCGACAAAGTGGACGAGTTTGTGCCGCAGTGGTACAACTCACCGGGCGTGCTAGAGCAGCTGCAGCTCGACCTCGAAGCCATCGCAAGAGGTAGGTTGATATGCGTGCGCACCGGGAAAACCGCAATACAAATGATCACATTTCGGATGGGAGCTAGAATGACTACAACCTTGTCCTTACAAAGGTTAGCTCTATTATGTCACATTCATCGTAACGTTACCCAGTCGGAGGTCAGGTCAGGAAGCAGTATGACTACCCACAAGGGCTCTAAGTACGTGTCAAGTTACTCTCTGGCCTACCACAATATGTCATTGATATTGACCATCCAAGTATAACCACACCTTTTTTTTGTAACATGTCTTCGGTAAGGGTCATTTCACCGTATTGGACCCTGAGTGCGCCGTCTGACCTGATATTTTTCTCCGTACGAACGCCGTCTGACCTGACGCGTCTCCCTATGTACCCGCCCTGTGACCTGGCATGTCTCCCTATGTACCCGCCCTGTGACCTGGCATGTCTCCGTATGTAGGCCCTCTGACCTGACGTCTCTCAGTAAGTGCGCCGTCTGATCTGACGACTGACATGCCTCACCGTATGCGCACTTCCCGTCCTGACGCGTCCCTCCGTATATTCGCCGTGCCGGCCAGGAGAGGACCCGGACGAGGTGCTGGCAGCTGCAGCGGCGGCCCGGCCCGGCTCACCCATCACACCCAACACCTCCCCTCGGCTCAGCGCCTCCTGTCTGACCGCGGCGCCCATCCACCCCAACGCGCCCAAAAAGACCAAGTCGGCCACCCTAATAAAGGTGAGTTCTACTGGGAGCTGCTTTAGATCAGATCAGGATGATCAGGGAGACCAGACTGTGGCTGGTGCCGCTGGTGGCTATCTAATTCGCTCGTGGCTTATCATCGGCTGTCCATCCGTTCCGATTCGTCAGAGGATGTTCCTGGAACTCGTATGGTCTTCAACGGAGAAATTGTGGGCACGGTTACTGACACTAGCTGTCAAATTCGTTCGTGGCCTTCCGTGATGTTGTCTTCTATTTCATGACGGTGAGCCTCGGAAGTCGTCCTCAACGGAGAAATTGTGGACAACGTGCACGTTAGCGGAAATGGGCGTGTGTTCATGGTGTGGCGTATCCGATCCCTCTGGTATTGCCTCCGTAACGTGCTGCACTGTGCTTCTTTCCATACTACTTTTCCTGAAGATCGACGAATTAGTCGCAGTTTCGGTTCTGAATCTTATAGAAATAAACTTATCATTGTGGACACCTGATAAGGATGTGTAGCTCATGAATTAGCTATGGTTATACGCGTGAAACTGGAAGTTGGCGGGGTAGAAAGCTAGAATTCTTTTCGCTTTGGTGATGCTGAATAAGAGTGGTACAATGAGTGCGTGAATATTTGGTGACGAACAATTCAAGGTCGTAAAATCTAAGGAGTTAAATGCATGCGTGCAGATAGTGCATGCATTCATAGTGCACTTTTACCGTAGTTGTCGTGTGCTCGCATTTGTTTGGTTTTACTGCGGCCATCGGTTGCGCTTGCTTCACGATTCATTTTCGCTCTCCCGGTGAATTTGACATTTGTTTATACACATGCCTGTCCGACATTCCTCCACTGCGCACATACGGTGCGTGTTTTCCGTCAGTCCCTCTCCACCATACCATCTGGTACGGCCCTGCACGTCTCCAGGTGTCTCTCAGGTGCGTTTACTCTCGGGCGCGGTCGAATCGCGCGTGCTGTTGCGCTGCCGGAGGAGCGCGCACGCCGGGCACGTGGGTGCGCTCGGCGCCAGGCGTGCCCTCCCGCTCCCCTCCCCGGCCGTGCCGTGCCGCCGGGGCCGTACATACACGGCCAGCAGGGACGGCCGGGGGCTGGTCTTCCTCCGCGCAGCACACGTCATAACGCGGTTACGCTGGCCTCGCACGAGTACTACCGTGGGGAGCCTTGATGCCGCCGACTGCGAACCGTCCTTACAGGCCCACAGAGCGGGTTAGCTGCCCCGTGCCGGTGGGGTTTACCTGGATGCGCCGCGCGCCGGCCGCCTGCAGTTGGCAGCCGTGCCAGCGGCGTGCCGAGCTCGGCTGGCCTGCTGGCCGGCGGAGCACGGTAATTGGTCGGTCCGGCCGGCGGACCTGTCTCGCCGGCCGGCTCCTACCCGCGGCCGGCGCGCCGCCCGCCCGTCGCCAGTCCGCCGCGTCGCCCGGTACGTGGAGGCCGCGTCTGTGGCGACCGTCGCGTCGTGCAGCTCGTGCCGCCGTGTCGGTCAGTTTGTCGGCGCAGACTGTGAGGTGTGAGACGCCCTGACGGCAGGGACCAGTGAGTCCGCCGGAACTGTCGCAGAGACCCGATACAGGTGCGTATTGGGAGAGTTGGCTGTCTGTGTGGGGAAGGGGAGGGGTGTGGGTTGTTTGTGAGGCTGCCTGCTGACGGATGGACGCCGCTCGCCGCTGTGCGTGGGGGTGGGGATGGGAGAGGGGCGGGCGGGTCACATCTGCAGAGGGAGGGACTCAGAACTGTACTGTAAGACCTGCCGGGCCGGTGTCTGATCGCGTGCCGCGTGCAGAGCTCAGAGCAGGGAGCGCCGTCCGGTCCAGTGGCACTGCAGCTGCCCGGCGTGCAGGGGAGCGGTCAGCGGGCAGGGAGAGGCACTGTTGCTATCCTCTGGACGGCTGCAGGGGGTCTGTATTGAGGTGCGATAGAGGAATGTTTACTATCCGATGATCGCCACCCGCCCGAACCCCGATCGTTCTACCGACTGTCTGTACCCCCTGTTATGGATTGGCACGGGCCGTCCCTCGCTCGGAGCTGGGCCAGTCTCTGCCTGCCCCCCACTGCCGTCTGTTTATCACTGCTCGCCAGCCTGGACCCGGTTCCCTGCCCGAGCTGGCAGCTAACGACCGAGGGTGGGGCTGCTGATGCTTTCTGATGGCGAGGCGAAATACCAAATCAAACCCGCGATCAGAACTAAAAACACGGCTATAAGAGGAGCTTTCCGCGACACTTCTGGGAGATGCTCTTGACTATGTCGGAATTGTTGTGACGGCATGTCCGTTCCCGATCTTTCCCTGACTTTAGTCTGGTGCCTTCTCACACCACCGTAGTCCGTTGGAAGATCATCCCCGCTAGCTGTGGGCTCGCACTGCCATCCGACTCACGTGTCTGCGGCTCCGCGGCCAACAAAGACCGGTGCGAACTACGCAGCGTCTGGCGCAGTCTGCCGTGCTCGCTGCCAGCTGTGCCGGCGCCGGTCGACCTGAGGCGTACCCATCGCTCACGTGACCTCAGGTGGCCTGTACGGGGGCCGATGGGTCGAGTCAGCCGATCGGTATGACTCACGGTGCCCGGCCACCGATCAGGTGTCGCCTCTCTCCTGTGACCGCACGGTGCACAGTCAACATTTGAGTCAACAGGGCTGGTATTCAC